GTATTTCTTAAAAGATAATAATTAGTTAGGTTTTATTTTTATTATTAGAGACAAGTTAAGAAGAAACTTATAGCTTGTTTTAGGATACCCTTTTAAAACAAATGAGATGAGACTCGCCAAATAAAATGCCTAACTTGCGAGGCCTTCTTTCAAGGTTCATATTAAAATACTTAGATTTCGAGACGGGCCGTTTAGCGAATTCACGGCCTTCCCCAAAATAATAACGCGTTAATCTCTTTAGGCGCGTATTTTAATAACATTACCTTCCTAAACTCGGGTGCGCATTTATGTGACCCAAATCCGAATCTCAACGATGTTAAAATATGTCAAAAACCACGGGTGCATTTATGTAACGTGGTTCAAGACTTGTTTTAATGACGTTGCAATTTTCCTTTAAAATAAATAAAAAGCGGTTGAAGTTAAACTTTGCACATAGGTTCAACATGTATTAAAATCAGATAAATAAGTCGAATATGACAGTTGAGCGATCGTGCTAGAACCACGGAACTCGGGAATGCCTAACACTTTCTCCCGGGTTAACAGAATTCCTTATCCGGATTTCTGGTTCGCGAACTGTAATACAGAGTCAATCTTTTCCTCGATTCGGGATTCAACCGGTGACTTGGGACACCATAAATCTCTCAAGTGGCGACTCTGAATTAAATAATAAATCTCGTTTCGATTGTCCTTTAATTGGAAAAACTCCCCTTATACACCTTTCTAGGGGGTGCAGAAAAAAGGAGGTGTGACACGTCTAACAAATTATTAAGAGTTTGAAAAATTGACAAAAATTTTGAAGAAAAAATTGGATTCCGGAATTTAAAGCCCATGAATTCATAATGTGTTTTATCTTATGTGATGAGAAAGGGAAAAAAAATTACCATTGTAAGTGACATTTGAATGTGAAAATTAGGGTCTTTTGAAGAACATTTTGATAAATGACAGTACCAATGATAAATGTAAAACGAAGAAGATGATAAAAATATGGAAAGAGACCAAACCGCCCCTAGACTAAAAATATGGTGGCACCGTGGTTGATATGGAGGAAAGGGGATGGTGACAGCTATGATGGTGGTAAAATTGAAAAGATGGAGGAGTTAAAAAAATTTTGACAATGAAAAGTTTGGCCATTTTTTAAGGCAAGTCAGATTTTTAAGGTGGGTAAAAATGGGGTTAAGTGTGGGTTTATTTAATTGAGGTCATAGTTTAATATTGAACTAATAAAAAGTTGCCACGTTTAATTTAAGTAAATCTTTTTTATTTGGCATTGACCATTAGTCGTAGGGGTATAAGTGAGCCAGAAAGATAACGATGGGGATATTTTTGACACAGAGGAAATATTTGTACCAAATTGAATAGTCTGAGGATAATTTTGACCCTTTTTCGTAAATTATAATTACTTCTTTATCATTCCAATTATAGGGGATACAACAACAACAACAACAACGACCCAGTAAAATCCCACAAGTGGGGTCTGGGGAGGGTAATATGNTCCTTGGTGCAACCCCATAATAACTGGAAAGTGTTCAGAGTCGCCTCCTACTATCCTAACCCGAGTCTTAGCTCCATCATGCATGTCTTTAATCACCCTAATATAGTTATTCGGGACCCCTTTATCCAATTATAGGGGATACCCAAAAAGAAATGTGCATAAGTATAAGTAAAATTAAGATATAGGTCGAATGTCACTTTCAATTAGTTTTTTAAGAATACTTATTTGACTTTCTCCGGTCAAATCAGTTGTAGCTTACACATGCAGGTCCCCACCATATTACGACACACTCCTGCAGTCCTATCCACGTTTAAACACTAAAATTTAGCATAGAAAAGCCATCAACATACCTCAGAGAAGAAATTCCCACAAACAGCAAAAAGGGGAGAAAAGATTTCATTTTTATCAATCTTGATCTTCGTGCTGTTATTGCTTCTCCCACAATCACAATCAAATCAAGATTTTTTTTAAAAATCTTTTTCTGGGTTTGTTAAAAACTTGCATTTTATTGGATTGAATTCTTGATTGAGGATTACACAATGGGGTTTAAGACAAACGAAGCAAGCTCATCATCTCATATTCTGAAAATTCCAAGAGAGGATACACCACTTATAGGCAAGACTCAAAAACTCTCTTCTCCTTTAAAGACTTTTGCTAATAGTTTCATGTCTTTAGTTGGAGCTGGAGTTCTTGGACTTCCGTACACTTTCAAAAGAACAGGATGGATAATGGGTTCTCTCTTGATTATCTCAGTAGCTATTCTTACCTATTACTGCATGATGCTTCTTGTTTATTCAAGGCGTAAGCTTGAATCCCAATTTGAAGCTCCCAAAATCTCATCTTTTGGTGACTTGGGTTTTGCTGTGTGTGGACCAATAGGTCGTTTTGCTGTTGATTCTATGATTGTTCTATCACAAGCATGTTTTTCAGTGGGGTACATGATTTTTATAGCTAATACTTTAGCTTACTTGTTCAATTATTCTGTTCCAAATGCCAAAATCATGGGATTTTCTCCAAAAGCAGTGTATATCTGGAGCTGTTTTCCATTCCAGTTGGGGTTGAATTCAATTCCCACATTGACCCTTTTAGCCCCTTTGAGTATATTTGCTGAAATTGTTGATTTAGGAGCTTTGGGTGTAGTGATGGTTGAGGATGTGATGATTTACCTCCAAAACATGCCTAATTTGGAGATGTTTGGTGGGTTCACTGTGTTTTTATATGGTGTTGGTGTGGCTGTCTATGCTTTTGAAGGAATGGCAATGATTTTGCCTTTGGAATCAGAGATAAGAGACAAGGAAAAATTTGGGAAAATCTTGGGTTTGTCAGTGGCCTTTGTAGCATTGGTATATGGTACTTTTGGAGCATTGGGTTACTTTGCATTTGGGGAAGAGACCAAAGATATAATCACTACTAATCTTGGGCAGGGATTGCTAAGCAGTTTGGTGCAACTTGGCCTTTGCATAGACCTGTTCTTTGCCTTCCCACTGATGATGAATCCAGTTTATGAAGTGATGGAAAGGAGATTCTGTGAAGGCAGGTATTGCTTGTGGCTGAGATGGCTTGTGGTTTTAGCAGTGTCTTTCGTGGCATTAGTGGTGCCCAATTTTGCTGATTTCATGTCACTTGTTGGGAGCAGTGTGTGTGTTGTTCTGGGGTTTGTGTTGCCTTCTTTGTTACATCTGATTGCGTTCAAGAATGAATTGGGCTGGTGTAGTTTGACTTTGGATGCTGCATTTATTGTCATGGGCACAGTTTTTGCAGTCTATGGAACCTCCTCTACACTGATAAAGATCTTTGCGAAAGTAGCTTAGCCTTTTCTTTTCTGAGTAGAATTTCATAATATGCATATTATGCAATCTGGTTAATACATTGAGTGAAATTACTCTTGAAAAAGTTTCACTTTTGTTCTTTCTTTACTAGTAATAACGTTAATTTGATTCTGCACTTCTAAAAGCAACATTGACTCTAACCTTGCATTGCCCGTAAGGGTGTACAAAGGAAACCGACGAACCGCACCAATTCCAATCCGATAATCCGAGTCAAATCGAGAAAAAAAACCCGACTATGGTTTGGTTTGATTTGGTTTGGTGTTGGAAAAAAAAACCCGACCATAATTGGTTTTTGGTTTTAACTAAAGAAAGTCAAACCGAAATCAAACCAACCCGACATTATATATATAGAAGTTTTAGATATATTTAATATATAAATATATTTATTGTGATGTAATTTATAAATATTTCTTAAAAAATTTCATAATTTTATCTTTTAAGATATTATTTTAATGTTGGAATTAGAACTTTTGACTATTCCAATAAGTTTTATAGTCATTAATATTAGTAAATTAAATAATGCTAACAAAAGCCCAAACCAAAATCAAATCAATACTAATGCTAACAAAAAATATTCAATTCAATAGTCAATACTATGAACGAGAATGTATTGAATATTTGTTTTTTGTTTTGCAATAATTTAGATAAAAATATATAACCTATTTTTATCTTTTCTTTAGCGTTCAGTCATGTAATTAATACTCCCTTATTAGTCTACTTACTTTAGCATAACTTAGCACTTTTAGATTATGTTTATTTTTATTATGGTTTTTTAATTAACAACATTCTTATTGTCTTTATTGTTGAATATTTTAGGATAATGCCATGACACATCTCATATTTTGTATTATTTTCTTGGAAAATACTTTATATAGTTGTATCTTACAAGGATTAAAGAAATATTTGAGTACAAGTTGTATGTTTTGTTCTACGAAAATTTTACCGGAAAAATAAAAACCGAAAAAACCCGAAAAACCCGAAACCCCGAGAAAAAACGAGATTGAAAAACCCAACTTTTATTGGTTTGGTCTTTAGATTTAATAACCCGACACAATTGGTTTGATTTGGTAATCGTAAAATCCGAACCAACCCGACCTATGTACACCCCTAATTGCCCGTTCACCAAAACGACAAAAAGTTTCAGTAACATAGTATAAACTTATATAATAAAGCTCAACTTAAAAAGTTGGTGAAAAAGAAGAATGAAGAACAAGGGGAGAATTGCTTACTGGAAAATGCCCTCTATTGCAACCATGAGTTTGAGGATTCAATTGTCAATGAAGCGAAGTGGAAACAAACCCACTGCTTCTCCTGGATATTTGAGGGTGTTTACTAGTATAGAAAATGAACAAATAAATAAAAGAGGCAAGAAACCACAAGACAGCTAAAAGCACATCAGATATCCTAATTTATATATGTATAAACTTTCTCAATCACAATCAAGAAGTCACATTTAATATGCAATGTAGCATATTAAATTGGCCCGGTGTATAATGCATATTCTACGTTGGAAAGCCATAGACCNCTTCATTCTTTTACTACCAGTCTACACAGCCATAATTCCATTTAGTTCAGTAATGCAGCACAAAGTGCACGGCTAGAAAGCCAAAGAATGAATACGAACTTGGAAATACTCAAAAAAAAAAATTACTCAGCTCCTGGGAAACAAATCCACTCTCTGAACCAAACGAACTCTCCAAAACCAACTAACAAAAAATGTTCATTATACACGTTTATACTTTCAATATGGGTGAACCAGCAAAAGTTCTGCACCATGAAGTCTGATAAAATAATGTGGTAGACTGTCAAAATTCACAAGGGAAAAAATAAAAAATCAAGCTAATAGCATAATACAAGGAAATACAGCTTATCGCTATGCTAACTCATGCCGCACACAATTTTTATCTAACCACAATACCTACAAACAACAAACTGGCCAAAGATAAAATGAAATAGAATATAAAATGGCTTCGTACTAGTACTCCATTACCCCCATTAAAACGCTTTCCAACTATCAGAATCTCTCCTTGGTGCCTGACTCTCCACTGATGTCTTAAATGGATCATTTGACCCAAATGGATCTGCATCATCAAAAGATGGGAAACCATGACTATGATCTGTGTCCCTGGTGCTACTGATGGAATCAAACCTAGTTAGTGAAGCACGAGGAGGAAATTGCCCAAAATTATAGTCGGAGTCTGCGGCGCTGCGAAATGAATCGAACCTAGCAAACGAGTCCCGCTGCTGGAATGAACCATGATCATAGTCAGAGTCTCTGGTGCTGCGCATTGAATCAAATCTTGAAAGAGAGTCACGAGTGCCAAAGGGGCCACTATCCTGCATGTTGAAGGAATCAAATCTGGAGAAACTGTTCGAGTGTTCTTCAAACCCTTCACTAGATCTTCGAGGTGAGTTTGTGGAACTGTACATAGGCGTGCTCGGAACTGAGTCCCCGAAGGCAAATGGACTCTTTTTCTGGAACATATTATCTGCATTTGGGGAGCCGCCTGAATTATAAACTGGTGTGCTAGGAACAGAATCAAAGAAGGGACTTTGCCTCGAGAACATATCAGTCTGAGAGAATCCGGAGTTGTAATTTGGGGTGCTTGGAACAGAATCAAAGAAAGGGCTTTGCTTCGGGAACGTGTTGTCTGAATAACTGAACCCAGCATTGTAACTTGGGGTGCTAGGAACAGAATCAAAGAACGGGCTTTGCTTCGGGAAAGTGTTGTCTAACCCAACATTGTAACTTGGGGTGCTAGGAACAGAATCAAAGAACGGGCTTTGCTTCGGGAAAGTGTTGTCTAACCCAACATTGTAACTTGGGGTGCTAGGAACAGAATCAAAGAACGGGCTTTGCTTCGGGAAAGTGTTGTCTAACCCAACATTGTAACTTGGGGTGCTAGGAACAGAATCAAAGAATGGACTTTGCTTCGGGAGCGTGTCGATAGACTGTTTGGACCCCGTTTTAATAGGGCTTAGGCCCCAGTCATCAGCTCCAAAAAGAGAAGCTTCCTTATGATTGTCACGATCCGCATCCTGCATAAAAAAAAAAGTTAAGCAATATGATGTGGAGTTTCAGCTTTAAAATAATGTCAAAGGTATTCTTCGAAATGGTAATTCTGCAAAAGAGTAGAAGGTTGCCTAGACAGTAAATGCAGAAGTTAAAAAGAAAATGCAAAATGCATCCATTTACCTTTGCAACAGAATTGAGGTCCCATGCGGCATCAGTGTCAAAGTTGGTGTCAAATGTACCCCAGCCAGATTCATCAAAACCTTTGTCCGAGAACACAGATTCAGTACCCCAGCGTTCACTGCACTCACAAATTTAAACGAAGAAATTCAGATTTCTAGGAAACTGTACAATAGCTTGTAGAAGGTGAACCCCTACAGTTGTCGTAATTGGAAAACAGAAGAACATGGTATACTGAATCACCCAAAAGAAGAAGAAAATCACCACATTACCTTTGGGCAGCATGGGGTGAACCATCAAAACCAATGTCCTTCCTGTACAGAAAATTCTTAGAATTCTCTACTTGGAGAACATGAGAGATAATAGACCAAATCGCCAAAAGAAGAGAACCACATTACCTTGGGGCAGCATGGGGTGAACCATCAAAATTGACATCCTTCCCATACATAGACTCTTGGAATTCTTTGGACGGGCTCTCAACTGCATTACTTCTTGATGGACTATCAGTTGGACTTCTTGCTGTTTGTTGATGTCCATGCGCAGATTCTGTGTCACTAACTTCTCTAGCTTGTCCATGGTTTGGCACCTTATCTATCTTCGCATCAGTCTCAGCATCAGCAGATGGTTTTCCTGCATCCTCATCTAAAGGAGATGCTTTCTCACGAACCAATGAAGACTTTGGTTTAGGAGGAGCAATGACATTTTTCACATCAAGCGTGAGCTCTTTCACAAAGGTGAATCCTGGAAAGGACAAAGATCCAAAAATAAAGTGAGCAGAATTTAATAAATTTATACAGCCCTCACGTCCAAATGCGACCCAAAGAAGAAATAAAGATGAATTCCGAAAACATACCTTCATCTTCAAACTTATCCCACTCTTCATCCCAATCTGCTGCACCCTCTTGGATGCCCGGTTGCCAACCTTCAGAAATTAGAATTAATATGAGAAAGCATTTGAAAGAAACCACAGCAATGAAAATTATAAACTAGAAACACGTGGAGCTTAGGTAACACAAATTTGACACTTATGACAATGGCCAGTTATACATCACGCACCACCTACTTGGCACTACAAATCACTGACCAATTGAGAACACACATGGATCCTCAAAGAAAAAATCAGCATCATATCATGAACTAAATGGACATGACATAAGCATAAAGAGGGAAGACCTTGCAACTTAAACTGGAGGTTTCTTTACAGAATTACGGGCCAAAAGAGCCGCATCATAAAGGTCAGCAACAAGTTATTTCTAATGTCCCGAAAACTAGCACATTCAAATTGGTTGAAAAAATGAAAGGCTTCAGTTTGAGATTTACTAGTGACTTTTAAATATCTGTTAAAGGAGAACTACCAGCTAAAGTGTCATGGCAAATACATTTCGCCCACCAGTCCAGCTCATTATATTATTAGCCAAGAAAAGTGAAACTCAAATGGCACTTTTAAGAACAAAAAGATCTCCGCTAGATCCACAATTTCTTCCAGGAAACAGTTCTTTATTATCAAAATTCTTCTCACGAGCAATAACTTAGTCAGTCACAACTCAGCACAAAAAGATAACAAGGGATTGGAGTTATATTTTGAAACAATCTTCTTTATTAGATTTTTTATAGTAAAAATACAGCAACAGATGACAACCCAATGAAAACTTATATCATCAAACAAAGTACACAAAGACTTGTACAATTACCAAATGGAAGCTCAAGCAGTGTAGTTGGTTTAGCTCGTAAACCATAAGTTTTGCATCGTTCATTCAGTGCTTTTACTAGCTCCTCAAGGTTCATCTGGATATGGCTAGCACGATCCTATAAAAGAAAAACTTCTGATTCAGAAAAGTTCTAATATCTCTATCAAATCCATTAGTGAAACAATATACCAACCTGGATACCATCAGTCTTGCCATCTTGATCCATTTTAACAATTTCCTTGTATAGCTCCATTTTTTTCTCCTATAAAAGGTTCAGCAACATAACAACGTTTATTTGCAAGCTCAGCCAATTTCATATGATTTACAAAAAAAAATAAGAGAAGAGGAAAGTTAACTTTACACCAATACATTTGACGAAAAAATCCACAAATACCTGAATATCCCGAAAAGTTGCCTCTTCAATTGTCAATTTAGAAGCAACATCTCCTGTCTGCTTGTATTTCTCTTCATACTTTTTAGCCAATAACTCAACCTATCAAATTCTCCATTTTAAGTTAAACAACATATATTTGGAGATCTGTGGTTTCCTATATTCAGATATGTTTTTACCTCTCTTTTGTCAGCAGAAGTTCTTTGAGTGATCTCATTTAGTCTATTGTCACATCGACTTTTGTATAGAATCTGGTAAAAGAAACAAAAGCGGAAGGCAGACCATTTTAGTATCGTAATTTAAAATCATACACTGCTCTTACAAGACACACTACCACTCAAATACTCAACATTCACTGCTTCAAAGAGAACGGACCAAAAGGAGAGTGAAGGACTTTGTAAGGATTTAACCCTCAGCTTAAAGCATTATGAAAGACACATAGATATATAGATCTCTAAATATAATTGATTGAACTTGAGGTGCATAAAGAATCGACACTCACTAGTTCTTGCATCTTTGCATGGTAAAACTGAATCTTTTCTTTAGCGTCCAAAATTTCCTTCTCCAATTCCATGACCTGCGACATTATAGCAAAGAGGTAAAGAAAAATTGTATTAATAATTTTTAGCAGTTACAAGCACTTGGAAGTAAGCAAGCATCAACTGACAAAAGAAGAGGCTTCACTAGAATTAAGTTAAATGCAAACATGCAGATCAGCACTTGATCCTCCATAGCATCAAATTAACAACTAAGGATAATTCAGAAACTATCAAATATGCTTTGGACATGGTTCTCTAAACACTGAGACATAATCAAAAGTTAGTGCTATAACTTTGATGACCATCAACCACGGAAATTATGACAAGCCAGACACAACACTATCCAGACCGTGCATATAATTCACATTCTGAAGCAAAAATGGTAGCATTGTTGTTTAACACATCATACAAACCATTTGTCAATTGGTTCATAAAGAAAAGTATTCATTTGTCTTCCAGAATATCAGATCTGGTGTAGAAATAAAAGAACACAGAATAGACCAGGCAATCATATTAAGTTTCCTGCAGTGAGAACTGCATTCTGTTGCAAGTCTTGCAACTTTGGTTGTGACTAGCAGACACATACTGTTCAAGACCATTGTCAAGTTACCATTCCTTTTCTCAGTGGTTTAGTTGAATACCCAATTCATGAAACTTAAATTTGGATAATCATGGAAAATGATGAAAGTAATGGAAGAACTGATAAAGAGTGAGGACAAAAATAGCAGTTGAAAGAACAATTTAATTTCACCTTCTTTTCTGCATCAGTTGCTTCCTGGAACTTAGAGGTCAATGCATCCTGTTCCTCTTGGCTAAGTTGGTCAACAAGATGCTTCTCCAGTGCAGGAACTTTAGGCTTCTGTTGACTAGGCTGCACAACTTCATTGGGCTGGGAAATGGGAAATGGGCGTGGAGGCTTCCCTGGAGCACCAGAAACCACCTGTCCTGCACCCCTTGGCCCCTGTGTTTGCTGGGAAGCTGGAAAAAAGGGAATCATGAGACTAACTGAAGAGGTAAGAAACAGGAGGGAAAGCCAAAACTTTCTGCTTCGGTTCAAACTATATTTTCTCTTTCTACCATTTGCTGCATTCAAATAGAAGTGATAAAGCCAAAACTTTCTGCTTCAGTTCAAACTATATTTTCAGCATAGCTAGCTTTATGGTTTGTTTGTCTATGTGCTACGGTACAGCAACAGCAACTGCAGCTACATAAATGCATATGTACACACACATAGACATTTGTACATCAATCAGTAGAAAAGACAATGAAATATAACAGAAATTAGAAGTTCTATAATATTTCTACTTGTTCAATGGAATATACAACCTTAGTCCCAATTAGTTGTGCAAAAGGGAGAAGAAAAAGAGGGACAACACTCTTCTTATTACAAATAAAAAGTTGAGATCTTGGTATTATGAAACAATCAGTTAAGAATATACTAGTAAATGATACTCTTAATGATTCTGTTAACTTTTCAAGAATAACATATACTCCCTCCGCCAATGTGAGACATTTTCTTTTCTAGTCTGTCCCAAATATAGTGTCACCTTTATTTAGAAACAAGTTAATTTTAAATTTCTCATTTTACCCTTAGAGAGATGATTTATAGCCACACAAACGTGTATGGCTTATTTTAGACAAGTTTCAAAAATCTTTCTTTCTTAAGTATCATGCCAAGTCAATGCCACATAAATTGGGACGAAGGGAGTACTAATTATTAAGAATATTTTGTGATATATTAGTCATTCTGAATATTCTACACATAATATTCTTGATGATGCTCCTGACTTTAGATGAGAGAGAACCATTTTAACCTACAGAGAGCTAAAACGTAAAATCTTTGAATGAGGTGTAATTGAATCTACAAAAACAATCTGGAATGTAAAACAGAAGCGTAGTTAGCTGAAAAGATGCCCCATCAGGTTCCAAACAATTTTAGTAATAGCACTTACTTTTCAAGAAAGACCAAAAGGAACAAGGACTAACTTAATTTGATAGAGGAAGTTTACAAGGGAGTATTGCCCAGACAAATTTAAACCAAAATTATAATATAACCAACTGTAGTATGGATGTTTTTATATGTTCTCATCCATAATGATTATAAAAAACATAACTACATCATTTTAGATGATGTGGTCCATTTAAGACTCCAGAAAGAAGCTTATTGATAAGGGACCCGAGAAAGAGAGGTTGGAGCTAAAATGGTTAACTAGCTAAGAAATGCTCAATATGAATATAAAAATAAAATATTGCTTCAACTAGCCGACCTCATCATGTAGTTCTATACGAATGTTATAGCAACCCAGATTCTGATCATGAGGACGAGAACTTCCACATAAGTACACTGGCCAATATATGGAGATATTTTTTGACATGCTCTCGAGTAAATGTTAGCCTCAAAAATAGTTTCTCCAAAACCAAATAATACTATTACCGACCAAAATACAGCTACTCGTATTTTGTAATTAGAGTTTTCGTAAATCGTGAATTGGGCACATTCCGTATACAAAGTTATCACCAGATGAACTGCTTATAATGCTTTATGCGGAGAAGCATCCAACTCAAAACCCTAAAGTCATGGCTGATTGGCACAAGACCTCTATAAACCACTTCGGTTGCCCGTATATAAGATGTGGGATATTATACACAGCTCAGCACCCTCGGCACTTGTAACTTGATTTTTGGGCTTCACACTATGACTTGAACGCAGGCCTTTTTATAAGGACTTTAATGCGGACTAACGAGTATGAGAACGGGCCAAAACTACCTTTATAGTTTGCTAAATGGTTTATAAACACCCTCCGTCCATCTACCCGTCCAAAAAAACACACGACGTTAATTCTAGTAACAAACATACCCCGCGACTAACGGCAGAATTGATGGGTCTTTCATTTAATGACGTGACGATTTTTAACTGGGTCACGTGGCATTATTGACCAAGAATCAAATATGGGTCTTATTTTTACCCATTTACCTGGTCCGACCCTATTTATTTGACCCGCTTAATTATTTTCTTTACTCTTTTTTTCTCTCTTTTTCCTTATCACCCAGCAGGCCAGCACACTCACTCTCACCCACTCTCATCTCACAAAGAATTTTTAACGTTTCTTTGCTGAAACAAATCTTTCTTTGTGTGTGAAAATATGGCTTTGGCTTTCACTTCTTCATCTGCAATTCATGGCTCTTTGTCCTCTTCTTCTTCTTCTTATGAAGATCCCAAAGGTAATCATTTACTTCTTTTTTTTACCTTTTATAGATTCAATCTTTATCCTAGAATGTGATAATTTCAAGCTTTTTAGCACCTGGGTTTCAATTTTCTTGTGTGCTTGTATCAGTTTTATGTAGTTGTTTTTTCTCTGTTATTTCGTGGCTCTTTTATCTTCTTATGAACAATCCAAAGGTTCCCATTACTTGTCTCTTTCAAAGTTTCAATATTTCTCCTATATTTGATTGATAGATTTGGACAATTTTAGCATCTGAGCTCAATTTTTTTGTTTCAGATTTTTGGTTTGTTTTGATCCTTGTCTTCTTACTTAACAACCCAAATGTATCTGTTGATTTTCCATTTAAGAGTTTCAATACTTATCCTGAGTTTGATTGGAGAAATTTCAGAATCTGGTTTGAATTTCGGGTTATTTGATTTTGGGTTTTATCTATTCTTTAATTAATTTGTTATTGTGTGTATGCGGTGTCCCAATTGGAGAAGAAGAAAGGGGGAGGTAAGATGAGTGGGAATGAGTGTGATAGATACCACCTATTTTTGTAAATGGGTCGGATAAGGTAAATGGGTTGAAATAATATCCATTTCTTGTTCCAGTCAAAGATTGCCACGTGGCCCAGTTAAAAATCGTCACGTCATTAAATGAAAGACCTACCAATTCTGCCGTTAGTCGCGGGGGTATTTTTGCTAATAGAATTAACGTCGTTTGTTTTTTGGACGGAGGGTATTTATAAACCATTTAGCAAACGAAGGGATAGTTTAGGCCCTTTTCCGGTATGAGAAGGGGTCTAACCAAAGGTTTGACTATGATATCATGTGAAATAAACTAAATATCCGGTCCAAAACCTAAGGCTATGGATGGAGTTACTCAAGACCTTTATAAACCCCTTTAGATGCATGTATATACTGCATGTGGGATATTATATACTTAAATATAATTCAAAACAAAGCATCAACTGCTCTATTTGCTACTAAATATGTTACCCACACATATATGTACACAACCGGTCATGAGTCATGCATAATCTATCTATATATACTATGTTAAAAGTGGGAAGCCCAAAACAAAAAGTTGAATTACTAAAATACCCTTAATAATATATATTTATATTTAATAATAATAGTTAAAGAAATACCAGGAAAATATTAATGTATATCGTGTCTTTCTAAATAGTTGTGTTCTTTCATTAGTAACTAATTTTAAACAAATTATTTGGCCGTTACAAAAGAACTACTATGAAAAATTTAATGCCTTGATTTGAAGGGTTGTGTTCCTTTAGATTACCAAAATAACTTTTAAAAACTAAAGTCTTATATATTTAAAGGCTCCCATTTGAAGTAAATAAAATATACTATGAGAAAAGAATCCGAATGATTTCATTACTCGTCTCGTCTCGTCTCGTCTCGTCTCGTCTCGTCTCGTCTCGTCTCGTCTCGTCTCGTCTCGTCTCGTCTCGTCTCGTCTCGTCTCGTCTCGTCTCGTCTCGTCTCGTCTCGTCTCGTCTCGTCTCGTCTCGTCTCGTCTCGTCTCGTCTCGTCTCGTCTCGTCTCGTCTCGTCTCGTCTCGTCTCGTCTCGTCTCGTCTCGTCTCGTCTCGTCTCGTCTCGTCTCGTCTCGTCTCGTCTCGTCTCGTCTCGTCTCGTCTNTATAAAGTGGCACATTTCATCGTTACGTAACGACAGATTTAACGATACGATACAATAAAATGTAAGTAACAATCAAAACAAATATTGTATTTAAAGTAACAATACGATACGATACAACTGGTAACAACCATCCAAACAAGCTGTTAGGCAAACTTATCCAACGTAAACTAATTTCAACATTAGGTAATAGTACTTCTTCTTAGTGATTTGAATATATGTCATGTGTAACGTCTTACTGATTTCAACAATAGGCAATAGTATTTCTTCTTAAACACATTCTGTGAAATTTTCCTTCTACTAATTTTGAAGAATATTTTCATTCTTCTTTCTGAAATCCCATATTCCGATTCTAAGATTCATTTTTTCTTTGGGGTTGGTGTTTTTGTGATAGAAAAAAATTAAATTGTGCAACTTTAATTTCTTTAGTAGGCATGTAGCCTGGGTGTCAAATTTTCATTAAACCATTTGCATAGAGTGGAAAATTACTATCCTCGAGAAATTTTCTTGAAATGCATCACCTACATTCTTATAATATTTTTCATTAAAATTCTCTTGCACAATTTTACTATTTTAGATCGTTTTTTTTTTAATTTTCTACGACATGTTTAGCGACAGTATTTATGCAAGTGGTGGTGGGAACGTAGATGTCGCTTAATAGCAACATATTGATTATATTCTGCCACTGAGTCACTACTATTTTGGTTAGAAAGAGGCAGTGCAGTTCAAGGAAGAACCATTCGATCTATATTTATCTTCTTGAGGTAAGATACATTTATCGACTTGATAAATAACTTTAAAGGTCTATTGAAGAGTTAGGAAAGTATTTGTTCCATTTTGAGGGGAGAATCCGGTAGTTTTGATTTTAAATTGACAATATTTTAGTCGTTCGGGGGAAAAAATTTAGTTTTTTTTTTTTTTGATAAGGTAAATTGTATTAATCAAAAGGGAGAGAACTCCCCTGTACAAGAAGTATACCAAAAAGTAGAGAATTTACATCAGAACTTGATTCTATACAAATAGGGGCTATATGAGTGCAACAAAAAGCGATCAAAGATAAAAGACTATTCTTAAGATGTGAAAAAAGAGACTCAATCCCCTCAAAAGCTCTCCTA